CCCCCTGGCGCCCACCCCCCGCCTCGGGCCGGGGGTCTGGCTGCCTCCCCCCCGCCGGGCTGCTGGCACTGCGGCCGGCGCCTCTCCTCGCACCCAAATCTCCCTCCCCCTCCCATTAAAACCCTTTGCAAAATAAATGACCCCTCCAGCGGGGATGGACGGTTTCTGCTGAGGGAGCGGTTTAATTCCCGTGGCTGAGCTGGGAGATTTCCTAGCCAGCCGGCTCGCAGGATTTTATGTTATTTTATTTTATTTTATTTACCCCGCCGTGTCCCGTCCCCGCTGCCTGCGTTTGACGACCCGGCTGCCGGCTCCGATCTCGGCCGCTAAATGCCCCGGCGGCACGGCTGGGCTTTTCTTTTTTTTCTTTTTTTTTTTTTAATTGAATTAATTCACCCATCGGGAACATCAGCAACCCCGCGCTGGCTGCTGGAGGCGAGCGGCTTAGCTCCGCTCCGCAGCGCGCTTCTCACGGCTGGTTAAGCAGCTCTCCCCTCAATTTTCTGCCAAACCCCCGGGGAGAGGGTCCGCCCGGGCCCGGGATGCGCCCTGCTCCCGGCGAACCCCCCCCCGTTCTCCTTCTTCTCCCCTTTCCCTCCCCCGCCCCGACAAAATGGGCTCCGATTTATTAACTTTATTTTGTTATTACCATTGCATTTTTTCCCCTACTCTACTCTCCTTTTCTTTTTTTTTTTTTTTTTTAACTCAGGAGCTTTCCCAGATCTGGGAGCACAACTGGTTATTTTGATTTGATTGACAAGTGATGTCATATCGTTAAGGGAGGGGGGAGACGACAACATGTTTTAGCAACAGTTAGCAGTGCCCAGTGATGGAGTTGACACCTCTGCCCGGGCAGAGGCGAAGGCAGACAGCAAATACCCCGCCCGTGCACGCAGATTATTTATTTACGCGCCTGGAGTGGGGTTTCTTCCTCTTTTTATTATTTTTTTCCCCCGCACTGATCTTGGGGGAAAAAAAGTATACCTGAGCAAACGGAGCGGGGCTGGGTGGGACCCCCAGCCCCCGGGGAACTTTCCTCCAGGGGTGACCCTCCTGTCCCCCTCCCAGGAACCACGCTCCCTCCCGGTGAACGGAGACCCGGGGGTCGACACCTCCCGGGGCGGCCGTGAAACATCCCCCCTCCCTCTCCACCCCCAGCCCCTCTCCGTCCCGAATCGCAGCCCGGGCGGCGGCAGGCAGGGAGGGCAGGAAAAACTCCGGGAAAAGAAAGAAAATAAGGAGAGAAACGTTCAACCCCGCTCCGGGCCGCGGGACTCCCGGCCGCCGGTGCCTGCGGGCGGTGTGCGAGCCCCGGGGCGGGCCGGGGAAGGGGCTGCCCGTCGGCGGGGAGGGGGCTGTGGACG